GACTTGACATTAACCTGTAATTACACACCCAGTTTTTCCTCACAGCATCAGTGTTTGTGTTTTACCTCATCGGGATTGAAAAGAAATGACCAGACGGAGCATGTAAGATTGTTTTTCTCATTCCTTGCCATCACTTTATTAGCTGTCAAAGCAGCTCGCGTGCTCAGAGAACTGGACAAACCTGTGTCTCACTGAACATATATATACTGAGCCTTAACTCCTGAGAAAATGTAGCTGCGTCTTTACATCCACTTAAGAAACTTCCAACCTCATCCCGGATCTCAGGAAGAACAAGGTAGAGTTCATGGACCTCGTCCCTAAAGGCGGGAGACCTTCCCCTCTGTCAGCCATCCGGGCCATCCCCGTGGAAGCCCTTATCCCAGCTGGGCGCCGTGGGCTCCCGCGTGGACCTGTGCCGCCCGCGGCCCGGGCTGGTTAAAGACTCGGACAGAAAGGAGGCTCCGACCAGCAAGCGCAGTCCCAGCCCGGGAAGCGGATGAAGGGTGTGCGATTGCCCGGAGAGATTCCGTGTGCTCTGCTCCTTTACTTGTCTCTTTGTCCGACTGCTCATGGGGTCGGTCCCTGGAGGGGACTGCGTTTACTCTCACCCTTTCTCTTGTTCCAGGCAAGGGCTCTTGAAAGTTCCTTTGGCTCCTAGAGGGAACGTGGCCTCCTGTATTCTTTGTCGCTCCCTTTGTCCCTTCTGAAATCCGTCTCCCCTTTACACAACCGCAGACTGTGGTCCGGGCAGAGCATCTCGTCTGATGGCCGCGTGTCTTTCTAATGGGCAGCACGAGCCCTCGGGCCTGCTCGCTGGGGCAGAGTCTAGTGCCCCCTGCGGTGTGGTGACCCGCGCCTCGAGGGGCGCACGGCGGGTCCTGCGCGCGGCTCACCGTTGCAGGGCGCGCCCGCGGGAGCGCGCGGAGCAGGGCCGCGCTGTGCGACCGCCCCGCGGATATTCCTGACTCTCAGGTCAGATTCACCTTTGATTTCTCACCGAAAGGGGGTGAGAGTAATGGCGCGCGTTCCGTGTTTGACCTCAAAACCGCTGGGAGTGCTTAGGCTTTAAGATCCTCCAGCGCAGGGCGGTGTAAGCTTTCTAGTATCCTTTGTGAAATAAAGCAGAAAATGGAAGACTAGTGAGCGGAGGGAGGGCTGGAGGGATGGACGTTTTCAGCATCCCCGTTACTAACTCAGCACTGGTTGAGTACCTTCCACATTGAATGCTCTGTCTCCCGTCCCTCTCTCTGTCGCTGCCACACCCGCGGGTCCCGTGCACCCCGCTTCGGAACTGTCCTGGAGCCAGAGCCTCCTGCTCTCTTGCTTGACTTCTCACCATGGTCTGATTAATCTTGGGTACACCCTCATGCACCTGCCTCTTCTTTGCTATGGCCAAGGTCACCTTCATAAAAGAAAAACCCCACCGGTCACTCTCTTGCTCCACAGCTTCCACGGGCTCCCAGTTGCTTTAACATAAAAAAAACCATATTCTTCAGCCCCGACTCACTCCGCTCTTGGGTTCCTGGTGCCCGGCCTCGTTTCTCCCATCTCTCCGCGCACTCTCTGCTGCACGCGCTACAGGAAAGACAGACCTGATTTCAAATCACCATTTGCTGGCTCTATAAAAATGGCTCTAGAGGCACTCAGTCCCTCTCTTGGTAAAAGGGAAATTGGTGGTAAGAGGTAAGGCTTATAAGGAGCAGAAATTATCTGTCTCCTAATAGCTTTCTCTCTGTGCCTTTGTAAGGGCAGCTCCTCTCCCAGAGGTGTGTGCCTTTCTCTTCTCCCCATGACAAACCCCTGCTCAGACCCAGACCAACAGGCATCTTCTCTATGGCTATGTTTCTGCCTCCCCCAGACTGAGTCGGAGACATTCTCCTTCGGGCTCCCAGAACAACTCAAGGGCATTTATTACATTATGATATGATATGTTATGATGTATGATACTGTAAGACCCCTTAAAAAAGACAATGTCCTATTTTAAAAGATCTGTACCTTAACCTGGTATAAAATAGCTTTTCAAAAAATATTTCTTGAATGAGCGTGTGGAGGCACTCTGCTAGGCTCCACTGTCCAGTTCTTGAAAAGCACACACACACACACACACAACCTCGAAAGGTCTGGAACAGACCCATCCACACAAATAACCACAATCCAAGTTTAAGTGGAACAGGGCTCTTCGGATGTGGAATCACGTGTAACAGCAGCCGACCCCTCCACCTGAGGACACAGGGAAGCGAGGAAACCTTTGCAGGGAGTGGACATCTGAGCATGTGTGTGGATTTTACTTCCGGTTTTGTTTAACCCGTCCATGTATTTATTATGCCCACCTCTCCTTATTCCCCACAGGACCCCAAGCTTTGGTGGCAGAAGGCTAGAGAGTTTTTAAACCTTGGCCAGTAGTTCCCAGGAGATGGCATAAAGGGACAGATAGTTTTCCATAATGCAATTTTGAGTGGCAGTTGCAGTTTTGCTTATAAACCCTGAAGCCTGTAAATTACTGACAAATCAGCATATCTTTGAAGATGAAGACAGACTACAGCAAGAAGATAAAGGTTTAAAAACTAGAAAGCCATAGAAACCTTATGTTTTCATCATATTCTTAGGAATAGATTTTTTTTTAGATTCTAAATAATTAGACTGCCCAAGTGAAATTGAAAAATGATGAACCATGACATACCAATCTATTTTAATATGATGTATAAAGTAATTCCTGCCTTTTTTATAACATTGGAGGATATTCAATAAAATTTTGAATATGGGATTTTTTTTAAAGAAAGGATTTTAGAATATGAGAAGCAATGGGAGTCTAGAAATTCATTCAGTTCAACAGCAAAGAATAACTGTGATCATAATTTAGCATTTTGTAGTATCTTCTACATCTAGCACTTAATGGTTCTGATTGGAAAACTCTAAGAAATATTGAAATATCTTCCTCCAGTGGCACTGATTGAGAAATAGAATCTCCCTGTTTTGTGTCCATTGGAGTCCTCACATAGCTTCCCTGATGACAAATTCTATAGAGTGTCCTAATAATGATCAGTGTGGCTAGCATTTACTCAGTGTTTATAGTATACCAGGCAATGGGCTATACAAGGTTTTTTATTTGGAGAGCTCACTGGAGGCTCAAGCGTACATGTCTTTATTCTCTACATCACCAGAACTCAATATATTTCACGCCACGTGTCCCAGGAACTTAGCAAGATAAAAAGAAGGTACCTCAGCACCACTCTGGGAGTTATCCTGGAGGAATGAAATATGGCCATTTAGAAAGAACAGAAATTCCATCTGAAATTGCATAACCTGAGACACTAGAAAAATTCTATTCCTGTATGAGCCAAGAACAGTTATTAGGTGGAAAAAAGATTTGGTCATCTTCATTGTACTCATCCCGCTTATATAGAATCCCTGGGTACTTGTGTTCCTGAGGTCTCATGCTATTTGTATGTTCAAATAGCTGAGGGGATTTTGAGGGAACCTCCTACCAGCCCTGTCTAGCTCTAGGAGACTTATTGCAGGTTTTTAAGGAGATCTGTTATGTCTGGTTCTATTGTTCAACTGCCATACCTCCAAACCCAGAACGTTCGGTATTTAAGATACAATACCAGATACAGCTCATTTGAGATGAATGGCCCCAAAAGACTGCTTTTGTTTGTTCCTACTTTTTTTTTTTTAAGATTTTATTTATTTGACACACAGAGAGAGATCACAAGTAGGCAGAGAGGCAGGCAGCGAGAGAGAGGGAAGCAGGCTCCCCACTGAACAGAGAACCCGATGTGGGGCTCGATCCCAGTACCCTGAGATCATGACCTGAGCCGAAGGCAGAGGTTTAACCCACTGAGCCACCCAGGCGCCCTGATCCTACTTTTTTATGAATGTAATCATCTTCTCATTTTTAAAAGAAAAATTTCCTCTTATGAAAAATTAGAAAGGAGAATATAATCCTCACTATGGCCCAACTTCAATAATTATCACCTCATGAGTCAATACTGTTTCTTTTATATTCCTTCTGCCATTATTTATCATGTAAGATATTTATATGGTTCCAAAGTGCAATCTACAAAAATAATATCAGAGCATCTAGCCTCTACCTTGTCCTTCTACTCTCTTCTCTTTTCTCAATAAAGAACTTATCTTTTTAGATTATTTTTTATCTTCTCTTTAAAAATATAAGCCAATAACGTTATATTTAAATTCCCCCTTTCTGAGATAAACAATGGGAGTCTGGTGATTTTCAAAATATTTTAAAAGTCTTTGGAGTGAAATGTCAAGTGTGTTACTGGTCTTCTAGGCCAAAAAGCAGGAAACATGGTCATTTGTATTTATTTTAAAAATAATTATTTGAACACTTTACAACTTGTAAAGCCCCGGGTTTGTGACCCACCCAAAAGGGGGAGGGAGTAAAAGGTGGTATATTTTGATTAAAAGACTAGAAATTGAGGGATGCCTGGGTGGCTCAGTCAGTTAAGTATCTGCTTTTGGCTCAGGTCTGATCTGAGGGCCCTGGGATCAAGCCCCGTGTTGGGCTTTCTTGCTTCTCCCTCTCCCTCTGCCTGCCACTCCCCCTGCTTGTGCTATCTCCCTGTGTTCTCTCAATAAATAAAATCTTAAAAAAAAAAAAAAGACAATAGTTAGGAGATACATAGATAGATAGTAGGGTTAAAGACACTAATACAGGGGCGCCTGGGTGGCTCAGTGGGTTAAAGCCTCTGCCTTCAGCTCAGCTCATGATCCCAGGGTCCTGGGATCGAGCCCCGCATCGGGCTCTCTGCTTGGCGGTGAGCCTGCTTCCTCCTTTCTCCCTCTCTGCCTGCCTCTCTGCCTACTTGTGATCTCTGTCAAATAAATAAATAAAATCTTAAAAAAAAAAAAAAAGACACTAATACAATTGGAGTGTCTCCAGAGGGATTCCTGTAGTAAACAGTAAAACAGTAACAGCTAGTTTCTTTGCAGAGCGGGAACTTACTCACAGACCCTCTAACAGATCTTCCTTCTCACAGATCGAATTGCACAGAACATCATCAAGTCCCATCTGGAGACGTGTCAGTACACCATGGAAGAGCTACACCAGCTGGCGTGGCAGACCCACACCTATGAAGAAATTAAAGCCTATCAGAGCAAGGTACTCTAGGAAATCATGAGACCATTTTTCTTGAGATTTCCCGATTTCTGGCTTTCTCGAACCTCAGCATTACTGACAATTAGGGCCGAATAATTCTTTGTGTAGGGACTGTCCTGCACGCTGGTGGATGCGTAGCGTCATCCCTGGTCTCTGCTCACCAGATTCCAGTAGCCGTCCCCTCACACCGTCGTGGCAATCAGCTGCCTCCAGATACTGCCAGATGTTCCCTGGGAGCCCAAACCACCCCAATTAAAAAACACTGCCCTATTCGAGGGACCAGGGAGACTGTGCCCACATCAGATGACTTTAAGACCTCTCGTGGTGGCTTCCCGGGGCCAGGCAAGGAAGAGAAACAATTGAAAAATTGTAGCAGTAATAATAGTTGCAATTTACACTACAAAGATATGCCATAAAGCATCCTAAATGTTTTTCTTGCCCTACATGTTAAAAAGGACGAAAGAAAAAAAAGACAACTCACCTCATGTTATAATTATTTATTATTATTATTATTATTATTACTTTGTATCCACTAGAGAAGTTTTTAAGAGAAGGAATTTGCTATTGTTATATAGTCATATCACTTTTCTTTGGGATGGAGATCTACAATTACAAGATCTACCAGTAAATGAAATTTTAAATAAAATACATAAATGGGTCTATATCTAAACATATGAGGGTCACCTGGCTTGGTCAATCATATGAGGGTCACCTGGCTTGGTCAATCAGTAGAGCATGCTTGATCTCAGGATTGTGATCTTGATCTCGGGATTGTGAGTTCGAGTCCCATGTCAGGTGCAGAGATTACTTAAAATCTAAAAAAAATAAGTATCAGTCAATAAATATATGATTATAACACTGATTTTTCTCCACTGGCATAATTAAATCTTACCCCTTTTATATAAATAAGACAAAATCATAGATATTGTTATGATCAATAAAAAGCAGAATTCACACACTTGGATTTATGTCTCCTGTTCCAAGGAAGATGATGCAAGGGTCAAAAAATACATTTCGGAGATTCTAAATTACTTAAGAGAGTGATTTGATGGTTTGAGGTCTTTCCCCGTGAAATTCTTTTTATAGCAAACAGCACTCTCTGTAAGTTCTGGAAAAAGAACACAATGTAAAAATCTTACAAGTTCAGTGTTCCTTAGGTGCCCACGAACATGACCAGATAGAAGCCTGGAAACGAAATCACTGCTCCTCAGTGCGAGAGTTTTTTTTTCCCAAAATGGACTAAGAGCCCAAGTTTGTTTAGGGGAAGAGGAGGAGAAAAGAGCAAAGAAACTAAACATCTATCTTTATACCTTAGTGCAATGCTTCCATTATTTTCATCTCAGTACATTAATCGTGTATCAGGGTTCGAACAGGTCAGAACAATATGTCAGAAAATATTGTCATTGTCTACCTCTTTCAAAGGAATTGGGTACATTCTGGCCTTGGGCTCCCCGTGACAGGGGAGCACCAGGAGGGAAACCCTGACTACGTCACTGACTCTCCACGTTGCTCTGGGCCCCACGTTCATTCCGTGGTTCTCTCTTGAAGTCCAGGGAAGCGCTGTGGCAACAGTGCGCCATCCAGATCACTCACGCCATCCAGTACGTGGTGGAGTTCGCGAAGCGGATCACGGGCTTCATGGAGCTCTGTCAGAACGACCAGATTCTACTTCTCAAGTCAGGTAGGCCGGGAGGAGATTCATGGGGGGCCTGTTGGCGAGCAGGACGCGGTCAACCCTCGGCTCAGTGTTGGTTCTGGAAGACCTTCCTTCCAGGGTGTAGTTCATATTTACCACCCACACCGTCAGCCAACTCCCAGAGGAGACTCCCGGTAAGAAAGTGCCCTGATGCTCCTTCCGTTCCACTTTGAAGTCAGATACGATTTTGCTCATTGAAAGGGGAGCTATTAATTGCGGAGGTTGAGATTCCCCAGCCTGACAGGCCGAGCAAGTCATGAGCGTGTCAAGGCGGCTGAACTGAGCTGGCTCTCAGACGCGCCACGTGGCTTCTCTCTCGGGGAGACACCCAGGCTAGCAGCGCGTTGCCTCTGGGGTCACTCCCCGTCATTTTAATGAGGATAGCCTGCAGCCAGTCTACACCCGGAGAAACCCCCTGAGCTCTAATCTCCTGTCCCCTACTCTCCTACCTGCTCTCTGACTCGCGCAGTCACCTAGGAACGTCTGCGCGCGATGGACTTCCCAGATGCCGTTACCCAAACAGGAAACGAATTTGCCTTCTTGACCCCCGCCCCCCTTTCAAAATAGAAAATAGGAACCATCATGGTGTTTGTTAACCTTCCTGGACCTGGGCCGTAGTAATGATTATATATATGTGTGTGTCATAACATACTTTACGTATGTTCATGTTTACTCACGACATCTCACTTAGTCTGGGGACATTGGTATTAATTCCCTCTTAGAGGAGGAGGGGAAGATTCAGAGAAATGAAGGGCTGCGTTCAATGTCCCAAAGCCAGTGTATGGCCGAGCTGACCAGATAGAATAGCTATAGGTTGCCGCTGCTTTACCACATGACTGAAGATGGTACAAACCTTGTCTCGAACATGAGCTTGATCGATCAGTTATCTATTGCTGGGTACAAATGACCCTGAAACCTATAGGTCATTTGACAGTCATCATTGATTTTGCTCCCAAAGCGGTATACCATGTGAGCGGGTCTCAGCTAGGGATGGCTTGTCTCTTTCTCCATGTGGGGTTCACTGAAGCAAGCGACTTGACTGAGGACAGGAGGATCCCCTCACTTGGCTGCCAGTGTGGGCTGGTTGAGTCCAGAGTTCGGCCAAGGCTCTGGACTGCAGGCCCCAGTTCCTGTGCATGCATGTCAGCCTCTCCACAGAGCGCTTGGACTTTCGCAGCATGCTCGCTAGTTTCAGAAGCTAGCACTCCCAACGCCCAGGGCCAAAGTGCGTAACATTTTTCTGGCTTAGCTGTGTTATTTCCACCTCACCCTGTTAGTCAGGGCAGCCATGACCGTGCCCCTGGACTCAAGGGTAGGAGACATGAATCCTTCTTCTTGACGGGGGAGTGGTAAGGCCCTTGAAAAGCATGTGGGATGGAAGATATTTTTGTGACTCTCTGGAAAAAAAAAAAATCTGCCACATTTGATATGTGACCTTGAGCTAGCCTCTTGAGATGGCAGTTTCCTCATTTGCAAAATAAAGAGATGGAGTAGAAATAATGAATTCCAAACTTCCAGTTGCACTGCAGCATTGGAGGAGCTCACTGTTCTGAGTCGTGGGTGTCATCCGAGGCCCACGGATCTGAGACTTTGAGAAGGGAACCCAGGTCACTGCATTTCTAAGTCTCAGGTATAACGAGTCCATAGACTGATACTGGAGAACCACTCTACCATATGACCTTCTAACATCTCTGCCTGCTGTAAAAACATTGACTCTAGTATAAAGGGCAGACAGAGTACTTAACCTCCCTAAGTCTCCTGTAACTCACCCCTAAAAAAAAGAGGGGCTAATCAGACTCACCTGAAATGGTATTGTAAGGAACAAATAAAATAACAAATGTCAGGGGCCAAGGAACGTGCCTTCCCCCTTATAGATACTCAATAAATGGTACCTGTTATTATTTTTGTCAGAAAAAAACACTGTTTTGGGGGGTTTTGTTTTGTTTTTAAAGTTGTTATTTGACAGTGACAGCAGAGAGAGGGATCACAAGCTGCAGGGGGGCGGCAGGCAGAGGCAGAGGGAGAAGCAGACCCCCGCTGAGCAGGGAGCCGGATGCAGGCTTGATCCTGGGCCCCTGGGACCATGACCTGCCTGCCCCAAAGGCTGCCGCTTAACGACTGGTACCCCAGGCACCCCAGAAAAACCACTGTTTTAATTAAGATTTACAAATCCCCTTCTATGTGTAAGCCCCTATGCTGGGTGACATATAAGGGAAAGCAGAGAGAAATCAGCAGACCAAAGAAAGTAAGACACAGACATAAATATTCAGTGGCAAGTAAGAAACGCACCACAGATACCCTGGGGAAACCATGGGCTTAACCGATTCACCTGTATGGTGGTTCCTCAGAATGTCCATAAATGTTCAGAGGGCAAAACAAAGGCAGCAAACTAGTTCATTCAACAAATATTTAGAGGCGCCTGGGGGGCTCGGTCAGTTAAGTGTCTGACTCTTGGTTTCCGCTCAGGTCACGATCTCATGGGTCATGGGATGGAGCAGCGTGCAGGGCTCCTCATTGAGCAGCGAGTCTGCCTGAAGTTTCTCTCCCTCTGCCCTCCCCCCCACCCACATACTCTCTTCGTCTCTCAAATAAAGAAAACTTTACAGAAATAATAAAAATAAGTAGTTAGTAAGCCCCTACTAGGTGCCAGGAACTTTTCTAGGTCCTGGAGATGTAATCGTGAATAAAGTAACCACGACTCCCTAATGTCTGCAGACACAGGTCCTGCCCTCTCTGGGCCAACATTGAAGTCCTAGAAACGCTAGTATCAAGGCTGAACAAGTTCCTTCATGTTGAGGCTTCCCCAGGCCTTTGACCTGTGAATGCTGATTGTAACTTGGAAGTGAGATCATATTCAGCATTTTGCCAAAACTCATTTGACCAAGAAAACCTCATTTCAAAGACATCGGGTGTCTGTGGTGCCCTTCAGAAACACCCTGAAGGGGTCCCTATGTAAAGTCGTCCTGTGCTGAAACCTAACATGGACTATGGTAGAAATCGAGGCCCCTGCGGAACTTTTGCAAAAGGGAACAGGTTGGACTTGCCTGCTGCAAAGCTCCTTGTGGATTCAGGAGTTGGAACCACCTGTAATATTAGTCAAAACAAAACAAAACAAAAAACGAGAGAGAAGGAAGGAAGGAGAAAGAAGAAAGAAAAGAAAAATTATGCTTCCCAAAAACCATATTGTTGCTGCCTTCCATTTTAACCTCCTTTAAGGTCTATTTTATCTTTAATTCCTCACACAAGCACGAAGAGAGCTATTTTTTTTACTCGGGAAGAGATCCTGAGGTATTTCTGAATGGGTGCAGCTATGTGTCTGCGTGTATGTGTGTGTGTTTTCAAGGTTTTTTTGGAAGTCCCCAGCCCTTATAATAATAACTTCTTTATTATTGCACATATACACATATTTCCTTTATTTTTTTATTCATAGGTTGCTTGGAAGTGGTTTTAGTGAGAATGTGCCGTGCCTTCAACCCATTAAACAACACTGTTCTGTTTGAAGGAAAATATGGAGGAATGCAGATGTTCAAGGCCTTAGGTGAGTTTACCTTTGATGGTGACACAATTTTCTTAGCTGCCATCAGTTTCTCCACTGAGAAGTTGGTAAATGAAATGCCTTGATTCTTGAATTTGAACTAGCATCTCACTTGACAGGGGCTGGACCAGTGTTATCTAGGATCTTAGAGTTGTGCATCCTAATATGAAAGGTGGGAGAGAACCACAGACCCCTTTGAGATCACCCACACCTCATTCAGAAATCAATGGAGACCGGTTCCGAAAGAACTGAGAGACATTCTAGATTATTCTTTGTAAGATCAACTTTTATTTTCCCTTCTAGCTTACTGCCTCACAAAGTACATTAGGTATACCACTGGTGGTCCGTGGGTGAGTGATCTCTTGGTGTCTTCTGTAAATGCATAATCGTTAGTTAAGATATTTAATGAAAAGAAGAGCTCCTTCACTTCTCTCCCATAGCAGACTTTCTCCCTGTTAATCCATGAAGTTCTGGTGGGAGCACAGGAAGAGTGGGTGCCAACCTGCCTTCCCATGACCCCCAGACCTTTCCTGTGGGGGGGCACACACAGAGGCAGTCTTTGTAAGTGCTGGGTCTCATTCACATCCGTCATCAGTCGCAGAGCAGATAAGAACGTTAGCGAAGATGGGCCGATGCCAGGAAAGGTTTTAACGATTGGCAGTGCCATTTGTTCCATACATGGCCCCTGGACATCACAAAGGCAGTGCCCTTTCACCTTCTGTGCTGTCAGTTGATAGGGCGGCGAACGGCAAGTCCGTCTGGCTGGCATTGTTTGCCTTCTGCCACTGATACACATCCATGTCCTCTACAAGGCTAGATTTTCAAGAAAGGAGGAAAAGCCTTGGCAGGCAACTTGGGTATATTTCCAGCCTCATAAAATAAACATTTACCAAGGATCAGTGTAGGGACGAAGCATTCTTTTGCCAAAATTCACCATTGCTAAGCAACTGACCTACAAGGGATCCGTGAGAAGGTAAAAATAAATGAATGCCTGCCCCTCAGTAAGATTTTCAGGGAAGTTACCCACTTGAAAGCTACCTCCTCTTCGTTCTATAAGAAGTTTGGAACATCTCAGTTTGAGGTTCCAAGGCCACTAAGACCAATAGCCCTTATGCATGATGTTTTTGGTTTTCTGTGTATGTTCTCTCTCTACTGAAGGATCCCCAAAATCACTTATTTAAATATTTTTAGATGGAACTAATTTCAGACTTCCAAGATTATTTTTAGTTTCTGTAGTCCCAGTTGAATCCTACAGTGGGCACACACCATCCCCATTGGCCCCTCATTGGTGTAACGTTAATTTTCAGTGCTTGATTGAGATGTTGCCCAATTTCCTCATTCTGTAATTACTAGGAACTTGGAAAAATTTTTGCCTAGTGTGCAAATCCCTGAATACCGTCTGGATTATGGGGCTTTCCTTACTATTGCCCCATTCCATTCAATTATTCTCATTTAATTGGCCTTCTTTTATAGGTTCCGATGACCTAGTGAATGAAGCATTTGACTTTGCAAAGAATTTGTGTTCCTTGCAGCTGACTGAGGAGGAGATTGCTTTGTTCTCATCTGCTGTACTGATATCTCCAGGTAAGGAGGTCTGAAGTCTTGTCTTAAAAAAAAAAAAAAAAAAAAAAAAAAAAAAATTCTGTCTTTAATATGAATTACATCTACCCAAGCCTATGTACTCAGGAGAAATTTAAATTTCCTTAAGCAAGCTTGTGATATTTTTGGACAATTCAAAAGAAAGTAGCCTTAAATTAATTAAAATGAGCCATTTCGCCCCACAAGCAAGAGAAGGGTGTGTGGTAAGGCTTACTCCAGATTTAGATAAGCGAAAGTATTCCTTAACAGATTAATGAGGGCGGATGGTGGCTTGAGTTACAGCTAAGTTCTATTTCGTAAGTTTTATTTCGATTGTAAGAAAACAAATGTCCACCAAGGTGAGACTTAGTAGAAATATATTTAAATGAAAGATCCAGCATGAGGACAAATGGAAATAAAATGTACAACCTTCTCTTTAAACACCTCCTTTGTTGGCTCTTCCACCAAGATTACCAATATGAGGGGCTTTGAAAAGCCCCAGTATGAGGACAGCAGAGGGAAAAATGATTCCCACTAAAGACTGGGAAAGGGAGAATCTCCAATGTGGACGCAGACATTCCCATAGGAGGACGTGTCATCACTTCTGTGACCTTAAACACTTGACACCCCCCCCAAGAGCTTTAGTCTCCTCATCTATAAAGTAATAAGTGTGGACTTCATTATACTAAAGATCGTGGGGTACCTGGGTGGTTCAATCAGTTAAGTGTCCAACTCTTGATTTCAGTTCAGGTCATGATGTCAGGGTCATGAGATCGAGCCCCGTGTCGGGCTCACACTCCGCTTGCTCGGAGTCTGCTTCAATTCTCTCCCTCTCCCTCTGCCCCTTCCCTACCCAGCATGCTCTCTCTCAAATAAATAAATAAATCTTAGGAAAAAATGAAGATCATGTCTAGCTCTAAAATGCAATAACATACCAAAATTTTCAAAGACGATAAGGTATAACGTTTATAGATCCAATAGAACTCTAGCAGCTGAAATGCTGTTTAAAATATATGGCAGCTTGAGAATGTCTAGAATCCTAGTAAGTACATGGCTCCTTCTTCAACCAGAATGAACTCAGAGCCACTCAGCTGTCTGCTCGGTTAGATTTTGGGTGAAAGGATACCAGTGTCATTTATAGTTCTCTGCTAATAATTTTCATGGCCACGAGACTCATTCTTTCTATAAAATTCATCCTAGGGACTAGAGCTCTTCTTATTCCCTAACATAGTTTTCAGTGGGACTGATAGAAATTAATCTTACCTGTGATTGCACACACTGACATGTCATTCCAGCTGTATCTACCAATAACACCAGTCTCTACACTTTTTATTTGATCTTATCTGGGAGGGAGAGTGAGCAGAGGGAGAGAGAATCTTAAGCAGGCTCCATGCTGGGCACTGAGCTTGGAGTGGGACTTGATCTCAAGACTCTGAGATCATGACCTGAGCTGAAATCAAGAGTCTGACACTTAACCAACTGAGCCATCCAGGTGTCCCTTAGCCTCTACGTTTTTTAATCAGCGAGGCTTTATCTTTTTATCATTAAATTTTATGAAGACTTTTAAATTTGCTTCTCTTTTTTAACCATGTTATCAAAAATAGAAATTATCACGTGGCATGTTATTACTAACAGTTTCTTCTGTGGCTCTGTCTACAATCAAGTTTTTCCTCTAGGCCTTTTTTTTTGTTGTTTTTTGTTTTGTTTTAAACCCTCCAAAGTTTCCCAGGCCTGGAAGCACAAAGATAAATGGGAGAAGTGACAAGAAATAGTTATTTCTGATAGCAACCACATGCCAGATAATTTTCCTCCTACCATTTTCTCATCGCATTTGACAGTTTTCTTGGAATATAGTTAAATAGAAGACTCGTTCTAAGCCTGTGGGTCTAGGATGAGGGAGGAGATTTCACACTGCTTCCTACTTGCTCAAAGGAAGTTTTGCAAAATACACTGTGCTTATTAGGAATGTCTGTGGTAAGTGAGTACATTCCTAGCAGCGAATACGTAAGACGTGGCATAACTCACCTAAACTATCTATGAAGGTAACTGCCCAGGCCTAAGGTAAGCCTGTTGTTTATGGATCAGAAATCAGTTGAACTGTGAGCCTATAGCCATCAGATTCTGCAGAGTTTGGAAGCATGACATTTGGCTTTGTCTACCTAGCAAAGAATCTTCCAGTCCAACTCAGGGGCTTCTGCAGCTCCAGATACTTTGTTTGCCATCCTGGCCTAGTGCCATATTCAGAAAAGAGAGGAAAGACAGATGTCCAGCCTCTGCAGGCTCTGTTCATGCCAGACCCCACCCTTGAACCCCCAGATCTTGTCATAAAAGCCACGGTCTGTTCAGCTCCGGATAGTTTAGAGAAGGGAGAGGGAGAGAAACCTAATTTATTCGGATTGGCAATTGTCACTGAAGGCTTTTGTGCTCACTTACGTAAGGGTTTTGCTTAACCGGTGGCTAGACTTGTCCTTACCCTGTCTAAGATTACAGAATTGAGTTTCTCACCTGACCTGAACCGTGTTCAGATGGACCATTTCCAAGTTCTTTTCCATGAGTATTTGTTCAGCATTTGGAGACTCTAGATGTCTCTTCATGGAAGCTCCCACCTGAGGCATTGATGCTGGGCTGCATTCTTGTCACCAGACATAAAGCTTCTAGGAAGGAAGGGGGTGGTGAAGAGAGAGATATAGGAAGGAAAAAAAGAAAATGTAGGATAGGGGAAAGGAAAGGAGGGATTGTCCTACCCACCACTTAAAAATTCCATGCAGAAAAAGAGCACACAGGATTAAATTTTTGGAATCGATTCATGTTTATGCTTTGCATTACAGCTTAGCTTATAAAAGGGAAGGGGCATCCTGAATACCAAAAATATTCCTGTGCAATAGATTTTCTTCTAGAATTCATTTTCTTCACAAGTCATAAACTTAGATTCTTTCAAAGTAGAAGTTGATGTCCAAAAAAAAAAAAAAGATATGTAAAAAAAAAAAAAAAGATAGGTCACAGATAATACGAAACATGCTGGTGTTTACTAGAACCATTGGGTTCTTCCCTCCATCCTCCTTTCCTGGGTCAGTGTATCTGGCATTACTCTCATCAGGGTATTTCTTTTAAAATATTTGTGTTTTATATAAATAACTATATGTCTTTGGAAGCAATGAAATGGGTCTGAAACTCAGCACCTATAAAAGCTGTGAAAGCTAACATTCCCACCCACCCTTACCTAATTCTTTTCCTTTGTCAGACCGAGCCTGGCTGATAGAACCAAGGAAGGTCCAGAAACTTCAGGAAAAAATTTATTTTGCACTTCAACACGTGATTCAGAAGAATCACCTGGATGATGAGACTTTGGCAAAGGTATGTCCTGGGAGAACAGACCTAATGTCACTGGAAAAACACAGTGACTATTTAGAAAGCAAGGGCATTTCTCAGCAGTATCAGTTTTTGGAATTTACCAAAGATGTATAAAAGTTGAGGTGCTGCTTTAAAAAGGAGATCAGTAAATTATAACAGATTGAGAGGAGAATGACTTTGTGTGGGAAAGGGTATTGACAGATCTCAACCTCAGGCACAAAAAGACCAGGGAAAGAAACTAAGGGTGTTTTATACGAAGAACAAAAGCTTAAAGCAAGGAATCAAGTCTTCAGAATTGACAGGTGATGAACGAAGAGACTTTGTGGCACTTCAGAAATCAGATGTGGGCCAACCTTAAGAGTAGGGAGATTTTTATTTAAAATCAGAAAGAACCGTAAAATAAGAATTGCTGTACAAAGGTGTAAACCATTGTGAGGTAGTGAGCTCCCCAGCATTTGTCATATTCTAGTAGACACTGCTTGGTTTTTTGTCAGATGTTCTGTAAATCAGAGTCCTTCCCAGAGTAGATTAGACTGATTACTGGTAAATTTTCCTTCAATTCTAATCTTTTCATACACGATTTATCCAGGGGTTCCTTCAAAATAGTGAAGTATCCCTAGGTCAAAATGTGTGCAACCTGCTATCTTTGTTCAGCTTACTTAAGAATAGTGATCTTTAAGAAGAGTTCTGAGAAGAGATGTTTACCAGAGTAAAATGCTCATAGGGGGAAGAAGTAATTTCCTAATGATTGAAACTAAGCATTATTTGAGATCTTGAAGTATCTTGGATTTCTTAAGAACTGGAATTTTTTAGAGGGCAAGCAACTGGCAAATGAAGCACATTCTCAGTTGAAAACAAGAGGAATCCTAGTCTATGTTTATAATCATTAAAACCTTCCCACTGCTTTTAAAGTTCCTTATTTTTTTTAAAGGGGAAAATTCTGTTGGAGGTATTACCACATACTACTTTGCAAATACAGAAACTCCTATCTATAAAAAAAAAAATCTATAAATTACATATGCTGTTTCATGATGGTAACATTTTGTTAGGATGAAGGTCTCACTAGGAGGGACATTTTTACACTATAGAGGGATAGTTCTCTGGTAGAAATTGGTACTTTTTGTATGGCCCAGGACAAACCACTTGCTCTCTGTACCTCGGTTTTCTCCCAGTCAAGACAAAACTTCTGCATGCTTTCAGATACACTGGGCAGAAGAGATGGTTATGGAAACATACACCTGTCTCTATAATTGCTCTGCAGAATATACGATAAATACATCTGGTCAGTTAATGGAGGGGGGATGTTTCCTGCATTTTGGATCTCCCAAAGACCTTGTCCCCATATCTGCCATCCTAAAATTGAGGTCCTGATATGATAATGAGGATTATCATTTTTTTTTTTTTTTGCATCTGTATGGTTGTTTTGAGGTTCAAATGAGATCCACAGTACATAAATTCTCCTGCCTACACCATTTTCTACCTCCTGGTGTCCTGAAAGTGGCCATCAGAAGTATTTGGGGTAGAAAGGAAACAAGAGAAAGTGTTAAAAGAGGATTGTTTCTTGTATACAACTCCCTGGAGCCAGATGACGAGCATTGCTGCCATGGGTTGCGGGTGGATGTAGGTTTCTTGTGTGGACCCCTGCTTGTAAGCCAGCATTTCCTAGGATGCTCTGTGAAGTAAGGGGGAGGGACCATGAAAGAGAATGAGCTCTGGACTCTAGTCAATCCCAACCCTGAACTCCGTGGCTTTCGATGAGTCACTCTATTTATTTTAGATCCTAAACTGTCAAGTGCTGGAGATGGGAATGGGCAAGTATCTCGAGTTCCCAACCACTTTCACACAGAAGGACAATGGTGCCATCGACATACAGGCACTCTCTCTCACGAAGCCCTTACCCCCTGAAAGGAATCATTTCATTTGTATCCAGCAAACACTCTTCTATCCCACCATAGACTCTCATCTTTTCTGAAACGCTCCTTCTGCCCCCCATAGTCACAGAGCTCGTCTGCCTTTACGATGCCTCTCAAACAGCGGCAGCCACTCTTAATACTTGTAATTTATAGAGCCCTCGGGGAATCTGGCAGACATCCTGAAGCCTCCCTCTAGAAGAACGGGCACACACCCGACTGTGGTATTCAAGTCCAGGGGCGCAGGTAAATCCACAGCCCGTGGGGTGGATCTGCCTTCTGGGTGACGCGCAGGGACTATTTATAGTGCGACCAATTTGCCCCTGAATGAGTAGAATGGACATCAGGTGAGAGGGTTGGGGCTCAGACACAGTCACTGAACTTGATCCTGAAAGTATAGGCTCCAGCACGCTTCTGCCACGCCCACTTCCTGAAATTGAAGTCCAAGCCTTGTACTTTTGACCAAATTTGGATGTGCGGAAAGTGTGAAGATTAGGAATTCTGTATCCATTAACTAGAAGAGTTCAAACCCAGTATATGAACCTGTTTATTTTTTAAAGCCTTATTAAAGATTCTGGTTTCCTTTCCTCATAGCATCGTGATAATACGTAGCATTATTTATAATAATCATCAGAACCGCTTCCTAGCTGAGTGACCGTGGAAAAGTGACTTACCCTCCCTGTGCTTAGGTTTCCTCATTTGTAAAGTGTGACTGAAGACAATGTTGAGGTTCTGTGATTATTTTGAGGATGAAATGATATTCGGTATCAGCCGGCGGCGTACTCTGTAAGGGTCTAGTATGTGAGTGCTGCTGTTGTGGACAGAAGTGCATTTCGGCAGGGAAATTTGATCCAAAAGGTGGTATATTTGAGTTAATCACTAATGGATGAGAACTATTTCAAAAAAAGGAAGTTGGAGGGCTGAGGAGATGGAGTGTGGCCTTCCAAGTGATGGAGGAAATGATAAGAGGTAAGGAAGTATAAGGTATATTTGAGCTACGAATAACAGGGTGGGTGTATATTTGAACTGCCACGACCGGCGACAGTCTGGTTCTCTGGCGTATGGACTTCCTTTATCACCAGTCACAAGAATCTGTCCTTCCTGTTGCTCTGGCCAGAGGACAGAGGGCAAAGGAGAAAAATGAGTCAATCTAGCTCGGGCCGGGGAGGGGCAGCGTACTCCCGACTGAGGGCAAAGCTTGGATCTAGACATCTTGCTCACATCCCAGGCCTTCCTTCAGTGCGAGCTCTGGGCCAGGGCCACAGCTGGAGGCCTGTCTGATAAAGTCTTCTCCAGCCTTTCCCCTCCTGTCGCAGCTCCTGGATAATCAGAGTCGTGAAATCTTGGTAGCTAGACTATTTATTTGTTCCTAGCCCTCTTGCAAATACATGCGACCCTCCTGAGTTCTTGCCCAAATCTTTACTGAGAAGTTTAAAAGTAGCAAACTCCGTACTGACCCATACCCGACAGGAAGGCCTGGAGGACCCGTGGTGGGAGTCGGACCACCAGCTGCTCGCTCCACCATATGCAGAGGCTAGAGCGAGTGCTGGTACTTATTTTACTACAACCGGAACACTCCAGGGAGTACCGTGCCTTTAATCCATTTCTCCAAACTGTTCAATTGCTTGTGCCTGGCCGTGCACTACAGATGGGCCACACCACCCTTCCAGGTGTTTGTAAACACACAGTTCTGTGCTAGTGGAAATTCGAATTCTTCTAGATATGGAGGAGTCGAGGGATTATGCCGAAGCTCAGAATCTCTCTCATGCTTCTCTTTCCTCTTATTCCTGGATGGCCAGAGGGTTATTACCTGTCCCCTATGGCTCTCTCTCTGCAGGTCACTTTTTTAATTTTCTATTTAAATTCAAATTCAATTTAATTAACATATACTGTATTATTAGTTTCAGAGGTAGAGATTAGTGATTCATCAGTTGCATAGAACACTCGGTGCTCATTACTTCAAGTGCCCTCCCTAATGCCCATCCCCCAGCCATCCTGTTCCCACATCCACCTCCCCTCCAGCAACCCTGTTTGTTCCCTAGAGCTAAGAGTTTCTTATGGTTTGTCTCCCTGTTTTCAGCTTATTTTATTTTTTCTTCCCTTCTCCTACGATCCTGTTTTGTTTCTTAAATTCCGCATGTGAGTGAAATCATATGGTATCTTTCTCTGACTTATTTTGCTTAGCATAATACCCTCTAGCTCCTTCCACATCATTGTAAATGGCAAGATTTCATTCTTTTTGATGGTTGAGTAATATTCCTCCGTGTGTGTGTGTGTGTGTGTGTGTGTGTGTGTGTGTTTACACACACATCCCTCCCCCCACATCTTTAACCATTCATCTGTCTATTGACAACTGGGCTCTTTCCATATTTTGGCTATTGTGGACATTGCTGTTATAAACATTGGGGTATATGTGTCCCTTTGAGTCACTATGTTTGTGTCCTTTGGGTAAATACCTAAATAGTGCACCTGCTGGGTCATAGGGTAGTTCTATCTGTAACTTTTTGAGGCACCTCTCTCCTGTTTTCCAGAGGGGATGGCACCAGCTTGCACTCCCAGCAGTGTAGGAGGGTTCCCCTTTCTCTGCATCCTTGCCAACACCTGCTGTTTCCTGACTTGTTAATTTTAGCCAGGCGGCCAGTCACTCTTTCTAAGCCTTTGCTGCCTGTGAAGATGTCGCACCACATCCCTTCGTCCATAAGTATTACTCTAAAGTTGTACCATGTTAATGACAACACGGTGGAGAACTCAAGTCAGCTGCGAAAAGAGACTGTCCTAGACAAGAAAAATGGCTGCACCGTGTGGTGACAAATCTGGTTCTTTGAGGTTCATCTCCTCCTTAGCTCTGGAAGCTTCCAGCCTTCCCCAGGGAAACTGTGACGGGTTGAGCTCGGAGAAGTACAAGCCAACTGATACACTAACTTCTTCGTTCCAGGTCCGTTTCTAGCCTAACAGTAGCAAAACTGTCTCATCGACATAGAGAGGGAAGTTTCTTCTGTTATTAACAGAACCAAGTTACTAAATGGAGGCTTACAAAATGTAAGGCTTAGACGGCCCTATTTCACATGCTAATAAATTGAAATTTTACTGGAA